TATATTCTAGATATTAGTCCTCTGAGGTATAGCTAGCAAACATTTCTTGGCCATTCTGTTGGTGTTTCTTTGCTCTGTTGTTTACAAAATCAGTATATAAAAATCAATAGTGTTTATGTACAACAGTGAGCCAAAGATGAAATAAATCAGGAAACAATCCCATTTATGGTCTTTTCAAAAAAATTAAATACCTAGGAATTAACCTACCCAAGGAATTGAAGGGCATTTATAAAGAAAAGTATTAGCATTCTGAAAAAAAGAGTTCAAAGAGGACTTTAGAAAATGCATAGACATCTGTAGGCAGAACCAATATTGTCAAAATGACCAACACTACAAAGAGTTTATGTAATTCCAGTGAAAAACACTATCAGTATTCTTTATAGAACTAGAAACAAAAGTTAGAAGATACTCCAAAAAGCTAAAGAAATTCTGAGCAGCAAGAGCAGAGCAGGAGGCATTACTGCCTCAGATTTCAAGTTATATTACAAAACTACAGTGATAGAAACAGCATGGTACTGGCACAAAAATAGCCATGTTGATCAGTGGAATAGAATTGAGGATCCAGAAACAATCCCAGGTATCTTTAGCCATCTAATTTTTGTCAAAGGAACCTTAAATATACTCTGGCAAAAAGATAGTCTCTTTTAAAAAAGGGTGCTAGGAAAATTGAATATCCATATGCAGAAGAATGAACAAAGACCATTATCTCTCAATGTGTACTAAAATCACATCAAGTCAAATTGATCAAAGCCATACATATATGTATTATATTGAATCTGCTGGAAGATAAAATTTGTTCAACTCTTGAGAACCTGTGTCCTCATAGGCAAGAACTTTTTTTTTTTGTCTTTTTCCTTTTTATCGGTACCGGGATCGAACCCACGACTGCCTGCTTGCATTGCAGGTGCTTATGCTGCTAGGCTAAATCCCTAGCCCCCAGCAAGAACTTCCTTAACAGAACCTTAAGTACGCAAAAAAATAATACCAGGAGGCAACAAATGGGATGATGTATAAATTTAAAAGCTTATGCACAAACTGCCGGCATGTAGACAAGTTATACCAGTTTATACAGCTTCATTAGAAGAGTGTGAGTACTCTTTCACCTGCAGCTGGGCTAGGAATGGATAATATTTAAAAGAAAACAATAGACTAGAATGGTATTTTATTATTCAGTTTGCATTTATTTGACTATTAGGTTGAGCATTGTTTTCATAATTGCATTTTTTTTTTTTAAATCGGTACCAGGGATCGAACTCATGACTGCCTGCTTGCAAGGCAGGTGCTTATGTCGCTGAGCTAAATCCCAAGCCCCTAATTGCATGTTTCTTATGTGACCATTTCGTTATGCTTTTGTCAATGTAGAATGACATATGTTAGGTACAGTTTCACTGGGGAGAATATTTTCTGAGGTCAGTTTTCTTTAATGCCAATGATATATACCAGAAAAAATTCTATTTTTACTTATAGTGTAAAACTTTGCTCATGATGAGTAAAGATTGCATAATTGACACTACTTTTTTGAGTTATATTAAGGGTTTCTCAGCAATTTTTATGGCTCTGTACACATTTTACTGTCAGTTCTGATTATGTGGTGTGAACTTCTTGTCAACTTTGGCGTCTTTTGGTAGGGATGTAATTCTGCCACCATAGCTGCTTTCTGCAGTGCGGCGTTTAGTGGTTAGGTGCCCATTCAGATTAGCCCTGGCAGTCCTGTTCGACCTTTTGAATCATCAGTAATAGTTGAAGAAAGAGCCAGATTTTTACCAACATTGAAAATAATATATTTCTATTTTTAATATAATCATATTCTTAACTTTGCTAAGTTTCACATTGATGGCACATATGGATGGTTTTTTGCTTAGAGGGTTACTAAATGTTTTATATGCTTAAAAAATGCCATGGAAAATTTTCACATATATCTCATTTTAAGTATTGATATCTCTGCAGGAGTTCCATGTTTTATTGCTTAAAATAATTGAAATTAATAACAGAAGACGTTATATATGTACTAATAAAATTCATGCTGAAAAGTGTAATGCTATCTTGTTGAAAGTATGTAATCCTAAATGAGGTAAGAGAGAGAACATGTTTCTTCCTGTATTATGTAACAATTGGAAAAATTTAATGTTGCTTTCTTTTATTTAATGCTCCTAAGTTTTTCTTTTGTAAATTCAGATACTTCCTATTTCCACTTGTTAACACTTATCAATTGATTATAATCTGTGTCCATGAAAGAGATTTTGAGGTAGATAGACCTATGATAAAATTAAAAAGCATGGTTTGGAAAATCACACGTGAAATCATACTAGCAGTTTTCCCTGGTGAGGTGGGGCAGAAGTGGATAGGGGCTGTGATGAGAGGGGAGGGGAGGATACTGAGACTCTGTAATGTTGTGAATATTTTATTAATTAGAAACATGTCAGAATGACATTAATGATTAATGTTAGTCATTATAGGTAATGTGTATATGTACTCAGTGGTTTACACATTTGTATAAATTTAAAAAAACGGATAATTTCAGTTTTAACTTTTAGTCAGGCAGAAGCTCAAATTGTCTGATTTATCATTTATATTCAATGTTGTTATCTAAAGATAACTATTATTAAAATTATGTTGCTTTTAGATAAGTTGCTCCTAGAAATAGTTGTTTCGGATCTTGTTCTCAACAATAACCACTATAGTAAACACATTGTCTTTTTCAACATTACCTTTTTATGTTTCTTGATGATTTCATAAGTTCAGTTTAGTTTCTACAATTATGACTCATTAATATGAAAATATTATACTTTCAATTATATAATTTTGATAAGAAAGAGAAAGATCCCAGGCATAATTATTCTTTTCTTTTGCACAGAGATAGAATGATTCAGGAAACCAAACCTCTTACTCTGAGGCCAATGACTTGATTAGTTTTCAGTACTCTTTATTAAATCTAGCATAGATATGTCACTTAATTTTATTTTTTTCTGGTGCCTAGCCAGGATTTCTTATTATTGCTTGATAGTTCCTCCTTTCTGTGATATTTTTACATCAAGGGAATGACATAAGATGAGAGGAAGTTGAGACTGTGGACACAGGTAGGCCACGGGCTGCTGTTGCCTTTAGCAGTTGTTGTTAGGATTGTCTACTGACTGTGTAACAGGCAGCAGGGTAAAGTGCAGTGAATGAGGTATTGGAGACAGAGAAGGCTGGCTGAGTCCTGGGTCCACTATTTATAGTCACAGTGTGGAGCTGAATATATTATTTAACATCTTTTAGCCTCAGCATCCTCTATAAATTAGGGGTTAATAGTGTTCACTTTCTAAAGTTGTTATGAGAATTAAATTGGATTATCTATATAAACATAGTAATAGATTTTTAGAAGACATTGGTTCTTTCTTTTTTGGGGGGGACTAGGGCTCACACTCATGACCTCATGCTTGCCACGCAGGTGCTTGTGCCACTGAGCTGAATCCCCAGGCCCTGCTTCTTTCGATTTCACTAAAAGAAAAATACAGTGAAGTATTTGAACTCGAGCTAAAAGGTCAGGAGATATGTGCAGAAATGATTTCCTAAGTTTTAAATGAAGACTTTGCATATAAGATTTCTTTTTAGTATTATCTTTATTTCTTTTGATTTAAACAATTGTGACAGGGAAGAGCACAGGTGCACAATTGCCTCAGCTTTAGTTTCTTGTTCTTGTTTCCTGATGTTGGAAGGTACCACATCTTGGCCTCTATTCCTTTATTTATTTGTAGAAAGGGACCATAAGAAATAGGAGCAGAAGTTGAGAGTAATGGACACAGGAAAAAGCAGCGGTGTTCAACAAACGTTCTCTAAGCCTGTTTAAGCTGGTGTTCTTCCATTGATTCATTTTCTGATGCAGCCAGAACTATATTTTATTTTGAAAAATGTAAACTTGCAGCAAGGATCCTTGTTTCTTTATATATTTAGTTTTATTTTATCTTATAGCATGAAAACATAATTGCTTTCATTGAATGTTCTGCTATCTATATACATTAGTGTGTTCCTTTTATCTTCTTTATAGGTATATAGTCATATGCTTCCACCAGGTAATCAGATCCAAAATTTCAAAATACTCTGTCATTAAAGAAAAGTTTTATTATACTGTACTTAACAAGCCAGAAATAAAAGACCATATAAATTTTAGAAGATTGTACTAATTAATGTTAGAATAACATTTGAGTTAATCTTCCTTTAAGCAGACAAATAAATTACTGGAATATTCACTAACTTTCACTTTTGATCAGTTGAGCTTTTTCTGATGTTTCTTTGTTCTGAATGTATTGATTCTCTTTTATTAAAAGATTTTTTGAAATGAGATTTTTTGCATGAAATAAATATATATTAAATAGATAATTAAAATAAAGAGGGAGAAAAGCATGCTTTGTAAATTTTCAATTGATGAAATTATATTCTGGCTGTTTGACTTTCTGTTTTGTTGATGGTGTTAAAGATGTCATGTTCTTACAGATACGTCATTGTAAAATTTGTACTTCTATTGTGTCATTTGCTTAATTCTAGTTTCTAAATAAAACCACATGAGACTTTTCACTGTACATTGAGTGGGAGTTTCTTATTGTGGACTGTATATTATGCATCTTTATGTTTCAGGATACTTATGTCCTTAAGACTTAGTAGAATGGACATCAAACCAACAAGGTAATTGCAGGTCTTAACTTCAGAGAATGCCTTTTTTTCATTTACTTTGTAGATTTGTTGGTAGGATTAAGTGAGATATACTATAAATGTAGGTGCTTTCAAAATTTTAAAGGTATTACTTGGAATTGTAAACATGATTGAAACTGTACCAGAGGTGTTGTTCTCAATGTAGAGGGAACAAAGTAGGCAGAATTATGTGGGGAGGTGACTTCTGATATTTTGAAGATGTATGTATAGAAATTACAATGTGCTCAAGGGCCAATGTGATAAATACTTAATAATCTCTTATTTTGAGTTTTTTATGGTTGAGTTGATCTTGAGTTGGATTTCCTTTTAAGGGTTTGTGTGCATCAATGGCGGATTCATCCAGTGATTCAGAGCACTTCCGCTATAGTGACCGAGTGAGTCGATGGGCGGCCAGGTCATGTCGCAGGGAAACTCGGAGTCATCCTACCATAGACGTCACAGAGAAGGTCAACATCATAACAAGTACTTTACGGGTTAGTTAAACCATGGTTACATTTAATAGATTTTTAAGTAGTTTAAGTTAAGAACATGTTCCACCATTGAGTTATGTCCCCATGTCCCTATTACTTTTATTATCATAGAGATCCTTTTTTTGGCGGGGGGGGGGGATACTGGGGATCGAACTCACAAGCTCACACTTTCCAGGCAGCTATTACTCTTTTAAGGATGCTTGTGATTTCATTTGGTCCACTCAGTAATCCAGGAGAATCTCCCTATCTCAAGGTCTTTAATCATGTCCATGTAATCCCTTTTGTTTTTTGAAGTACATACACACAGGTTCTGGAGATAAGGACAGAGAATTCTCTAAGAACCATTATTTTTCCTACCATGATAAAGATAATGTGAAATAAATAAGGTTGTTGAGAATGTTTTGAGTAAAACAACTTTTCAAACTTCTCGTGTACATGTGCCTTTAGAGAAGTTTGGTGAAATAGATTATAGGTGATTAATAGATATACAGATGCCATCTTCATCTGGAGGCTAACTTTTAATGGTGTTTGGGTGTTTAGTAGGGACAGTATGTAACCCTTCGAAAAATAAAAAGCTTGGGAAGAGTAAGGGAAGGGTAGTATGGTCAGAGTAGGAAAAAGAAAACCAGAAATCTAAATTTTCTCCTATTCATTCATCCCTTGCTTTTACCTTTTCCTGGATAAACATGGGTGTTTTCTGTTAATTGCTTTTCGATAATATGTTTAGCTGAAAAAGAATAATTTCTGGTGGAAAAGGTACAATTTGATTCAAAATGAGACAGTTTACTCTTTTAAAACTAATATAGCAATGGAATTTTTAAGTATGAGTACTTTTACTTTCCCATCACTGAGCTACATTAGTAAGCTATCATATTTGAGTGGAAAACATTTTTTTTTTTTGTTACGATTAGAGGTCTAAATTCATTGTTCACAATTAAAGATTATAGCATAGTTTTTCTTTTTTTCTCACAAGCAAATTCTGAGATAAAGTAATATGTATTTGAAATAATATTGATTCTAATGATTTGCTTCTTGTACAAAATCTATTAGATTGCTTTTTTAGAGTTCCCTTTCTGTTCAGAGGGTGTGCAATTTGTGGTTTTATTGCTGTTTACTGTACCTTGGTTAAGAATGTATGTGCTTCAGATTTCACAGATGGATTTCAATTTTTCTTACAGTGGTGTTAAGATTTATTTGATATGAAATACATTGTTATCTAAGTTAACTGTGTTATAGATTGTGAATTTACATTGTTGACTTAGCTCTTTGATATATTGCTAAGATGATTGAAACAAGTGTTTGAAATAATTAATAGATTATTTATTTTTTCTCAAGGACACCAGTCGGAACCTGCAACAAGTGGACCAGATGCTTGGGCAATATCGAGAATATAGTAATGGACAAGCCGGTACTATAGAACATGTGAGGATGATAAGATATATTTGCATTTTTGCTTACTCATTTCTTTTTTTAATGCAGTTTTTGGGAGTGCAGATGTAAGATAAATAAGTTAACCTTTATGAACAGCTTTAATTTTAAAACTGCTTTATTATCTTACAGTTTCAATTAAGGTTAGTTTATTAGATAGATTACCAAATATCTTACTTAGATTATATTTTGTTGAATTTGAAAGCCTTAGGTCAGAGGCGGAAGAATTCAGGACACGGCTTAACCAGAGATATGCTAAACTTGGGCCACAGTTACTATTTGTATGGAGATAGGAATTGTTATGATGGCCTATTTTAAACTAATGTATGTTGATGATTTAAAAAAAAAAACTGAAAATTCTTCCCCATCCCACTCAATGAAGTAACAGTCCTCACAGTTTCTTGTACATGTATTTTTCTGTACATTTTCTATGTATATTCAGGCGTATGTGTGATGTTTTAAACATTAGAATACTATAAAATATTATGCAGTGTTTCATTTGATTATATCACTTGCCATATAACTAGCTCTTTCTTTTGAACAGTTATACAGTATTCCTTAGTATGGATGTATCCAGGTTTTTCTTTGACGTTACAAACAATGTATTAGTGACCATTACTGTACACATTTTTGTGTAATCTTGTAGGATTCCTGGGAATGGAATTGTGGAGTTGAAGGATAGTGGGCTTAGAAGTTTGTTGGGCAGTTCAGAAATGCCCCTTCAGAGGTGTGCCAGTTTATGTTTACTTTGCATGGGGAGGTGAGAAGGAAAGAAGTGTTAGGATTCTGGAATATATTTTTAAATTAATGCTTTGCCAATTTTCTCAATGTTTTTCCTTCCTTTGCATTTTGTCTACTTTTGCAAAACTTATATAAACTCTTAGAAAGCCAGTTAAGTTTCTTTGTGTTTCCTATAATGAGTATATATTGTAATGAGAAGACTAATGTTATCTTTTTCCTTTAATGATTGTATTATCTGTGCTATATATCTGTGCTATACTGAATTGTTACAGAACTCCCACATTTTAATTAATAACTCATTTTCTTTTTATAGAAGTATAGTTATCATTACTTGTTAATTGGAAACTAATTGCTTAAGCACCAGGACAGGTTTTCTCTGATACAGGTTTCTACTGCTTTCATTTAGACAACATATTTAGACATTTTTGCATCTATAGGATTTTTGTGATTTATGATATATTTGAAAGATGGAGCAATAGGCTTTGTGTATTTGGGTATCTCATCTGTTTTAGGTTACTTACCTTATTAATAGTGGAATTAATTCTTTGTTTTTTAATTTATTCAAAACTCATTGAAAGGGTAATTGTTAACTAGTAGGAAGGCACATTGTTACCTAGTAGGAAAGACCTGCATTGTCAGTTTTAATATGTGGTAGCAAATTTCCTTTGAATTGGGCAATAGAGAAATGAAATTATGTGTCAGAGAAACTTCTGTTCAGATAAGCATTTAAACCATCAAATGTGTGGTACTGTGGCATGAAGTCTCTGTGGTAGGAGTAGAACTGAATACTGCTGAAGTCTCTGGGGGCTGTTTTTATCCATGGTAAGTCAGTTCAACAGGTGTTTCCATCTTAGTTGTAAGTGCAAAGACTACAATGCTACTCATTAAAAAAAAGACACAAGAGAGCAACCATCTTTGGTTGTGCTCTAGGCTGTATCTTAGTTTTCTCTTTAGTTTCTTTATATTCTTCTATTAAAACAGTTGATTGTCAGTGATTTTTTTCCCTGTAGCATATTGAAGGCTATGTCATGCATTGCTTTCTGTTATACTCAGTGTATAGTAGTGGTTTTCATTGTGTTCTTTAGACGTTACTGGGGAAGGAGTGCTAACACCTGCTTTAAACTATGAGATGACACAAAAGTGAGAAAGAGTATCTCTCATAGTGAGTCTTAGGGACTGGCCCTTCATTGAAAATTGCTTTTGTAATAAGACTGACTGCTATGGAATATTATCTTACCTGAATGTGCTAAGTATCATGTGATTTACTTGAGTCTTTCTGTTCATAATTTTTGGTTCTTAAAGTATGTGGTAGGATTTTTTTTTTAATCAAATGCTCTCTTTAGGGACCTTGGAGAGTGACTTTTTTTTAATGAGTAGCAAATCATAGAAATCCTCTTGCTGTAGAACATGCTTTTCATTTTTTAATCCCTATAATGGGTTAATCTATTTTAATCAATGTTCATCTGTGAAAAAATTTCATCCTACTATAAATATTCATCACCAGGTTGTAATTAGCATTTTTCTTCTAAAATTTGAAGAGATTTCCTAGAAAATGAAATCAATTCCTTTGCCCCGGAGAAAGACCAGAACTTTTATTATTGACTTAGATTTATAAATAGTTTTATTGCTAAACCTTAGGAAATGGATGTAAATGACAAATGTATGTTATTTATTTACTTGAGTTTTAACTTTGTGAACATCGTTTATCAAAAGGTGGGTGAAAGAGTTTGGAAATATAAGTATTTGATGTAGTTTTGCTCTTGGAGTGATCTTCTCTCAGAAAGGAACTGTAAGAATTTATCCCTTTTGTTTTTGTAAAGCCTGAGGGTCATGATCATAGAAGGTCACTTTTTGATTACTTTTCCTTAGTGAAATATTGATTCCTTGAGCTTTATAAACTCCAACTCTAGTATGTGAAGGCTTTTCTCTGAAGAATTGAGCAGGACTGTATTGATACCTCTGTTTTTTTTTTTTTTTTTTTTTTTTTTTTTTGTGCAGAAGTACACTTTTTCTTAGCATCTTTGGGAATTTCTCCAAAAGAATGTGTTCCATACATTTTTTCTGTTATTTAATTCTCCTAACAATGCTATGAGAGATACTCTCAAGAAGAATTATTTTGATTCAAATCAGCATATTAAGTAAAGATTGGGTAAAAAACTATGAAATCAGACACTTGCATTAATGGATAATTTTTTTCTAATTTAAAATTTCCCTGTGGGTCACAGAATGGTCAGTAACTTGGCCATGGTCTCTTTAAGTGACAGTCAAGAATAGGATACTATTTTAGAACCCAGCATCAAAATTCACTTACCTTACTGAGTCATGGTTATTGATAATTTGTATTTCACGAGCTATAAATTTATATTTCTGATAATGCAACAGATGTGGAAAGAAATTTTTGTAAGAAGTCTGGTGGTGAGTTAGGGTTGGCATCAAGGTGTTGTCAGAAGTAGCAGTTGTGGTTGCCACTTAGGCAATGTCGTGGATTCTTTGAGGTGCCTTCATTGGCAGTGATTTTGCTTTCTTCCTGACAGCAACACTGATTGTTTTTCACTAAATGTCCTTATAGCTGCTGCAGTCAATAAACCATGTTTAATTGGTTAGTATAATTAAGGATCTTTGGGCTTCATGAACTTTATGACCTTAAGGAAGTATCATTGTGCATTATTTCTCTTGCTATGAATTTCTTTGAAAGTCTAAGAACATTTGGGTCAAAGAATATTTCTGAAGAAAGTTTTGTTTTAAAACTGTGAGGATCTGAAACAAATTATACTCCTTAGTGTTAGAATGCTTGTAGAACTGTTAGTTTAAGCAGTTAGCATACTAGAATTGTATGTTCCTATTCATGAGAAGAACAGGACATAATTTTGTACTAATGCTGTAAAAAATGGGATGTCCTGAAGAAAGAATGTTCAATATAAAAAATTAATATCTTTTGCAATAGAAATTTGTCTGAAAGTTAACACTGGGTATAAATGAAAAATACAGCTCTTGATTCAAATCAGCATAGCAATTAGCTTCACATTTAAGGAGTAGATAGACGACAATATCACGTTAGACTTTAGATACTAGTAGGAGTAGGTACTTTTCCTTCTAATTAAGTACTCCGATTAAAATTTCCTTTTGGGAGTAATAAGATGTCACCATATTCTGTGTAAACTTTGTAGGAATGTTGAATGTTTAAAGTCCAGATAGTTTGTTTTTAATGGATTTCAGTTGTCAAATATATTTGGTAATGCTGCAGAAGGATGATGTTAGTAGTTTAAAGCTAGATTCTAGCCATTTGTTACATCCCAAACTTGAAGGTCTCTGTGGCTAAGCTTTATTAGTTCCTTAATTGTCTTAAGGCACAAAATATTTGTGATCATTCAGTATCTGTAAGTAATAAGCATCAGTGAGTGACAAATTTTAACCATATGTTTCTTTTCAGATGTTCTTTTAAATAAACATTTCAGATTTTTTATAATTAGGGTCTTAAATTCTCATCTTTAAAATTTTATTCTTAAGTCTCTCAGGAATCTTCTGAATAGGAAAGTAATTTCTAACTGAATTTTGCCATGAGGCTAGTAGAAAAATGTAATTTTTGGAGTGAAAATGGAAATTAAATCCTTATTTTCTTCTAGAAGCTACCCAAGTAATTTAGGGCAAGTTCCTAAAGTTTTCTGATACTAAATTTCACTGTTTGAAAAATGAGAATAATCTTAGAAAGCTCTTTATAAATGAGCATTTAAGTGCTTATACTATTTTGGATACTTACTAGCATTTATCTAATAATTTTTTTATCTGATCTCTGAACTCAAGCATTTACTAAGTTCCTACTGTACACTAGAGCCACTTTTAATTCATCTTGCTTTCTGTTAATTCATCCTGCCTGACTTCCTGCGTGTGTCCCTGTCGGTATAAATAACACAGTGTGTTGCAACGTTTACAGTGAAAGGTGTATGTAAATTATTTTGAATTAGACAGCACACTTACTAATGTTTTCATCTTTATGTTTTTGAGTACAGTAGATCATCTGTTCTTCTAACATACAGTCACATACCACTGATGGGGCTGGGGATTTAGCCCAGTGGTGCAACACCTGCCTGGAAAGCATGAGGTCCTGAGTTTGAATCCTACTACACATCCCCCTCCCCGCAGTCTATTTATCTATCTGTCTGTCTGTCCGTCTATCTGCCTATCTGTCAATTTCTCTCTCAATTTCTCTCTTTCTCTCAGTCTGTCTCTCTCTCTCTGTCTCTCTCTCTCTCTCACTGTTAAGGGCTCCTTCCACTTGCCTTGAATGTACATTTGACATTTAAAATTGTGTGGAAATTAACTTATTTCAAATCATGTTTAGAATGTCTGTGATATACAGGAATTTGAATATGCTTCATAAAAACAGTATGTCACTTGAAAGATACTCAGGAACACTATTACAGGCTTGTATTTGTATAGGCCAGTGTATAGCAAGAGGTTAGGCATGACAGTGGGAGCTTGTAACCTTTTAAGTAGAAAAAGCCTAACAGGGGCAACCATTTAAAAATGTATTTTAGAAACTGGTGGGCCAGAGAGATATGCAAATTGTACATTGGCATTCTTATGTGATTTTATAAAAATTATTGTTCTCCTTGTTGTCCTCATTTTAATCTTAAAATATAACTCTACAGCCCATCTTGTGTAGTCCGTTGTCAGATCAGTTGTGGCCGTCTGTAGAAACAGGCGATGAGGGAAAGTCAAGAATACAATGTTTATTAGTCAGTGTGCCTAAGGATGACATTATTACCCCTGATAAAATCCTTAAAATGACCTTTCTTCTACCTCCAATTGTAGATCTAACCTTGTAACACAGACTGACTTCCATGATCACCAGTGTTGTATATGTGAGTGTTCGCTAAATGCTGGGTTTTCTGTGTTTCTTTTCAAGTGGAAACAGAACTGAACAATTAGATGAAATATTTAGGTGTTTCCAGTTTATGATCAGCATGCGAGGAAGAGAATCCAGTTATTTAGACATGCCCAAAGTTTCATGCTTTTCTGAATAATCTATGCTGTATTAAAGAATGTTTTTTCTTAGTATGAAAATAAAGGGTAGTTTGGAATAAATTTAATAAAATTTAAATTTAGTTTGAAGAAACTAAATGGGGGCTTTCTAAAAAATTTTAAACAGAAAAAAATAAAAACAATAAAACAATTTCAAAATAGGCCAGTAGAACAGTAACAATAAGCAACACATTGTGTATTTTTACATGCATGGTAGTTGTTCAGAGTATAAGATATAGGCCTGAAATATTGTCCAAAAAAATACTAGCACAAAACTGTCCCCTCAATGAACTAAGGGAAGCCACCTGTATGACTATCTTAACTATCTTGTGTGTGTATGTGTGTGTGTATATATATATTCTTTTTTCTTTTCTTTCCTTTCCTCTTTCTCCCATCAGTTTCTCATTCCTTTTGAACAGTTTCTTTCTTATTCACAATACTTCTTGTACATTTTGGATCTTATTTATCCTTTCAGTTTTTCACACTAGTGAGAACTAAATGGAGCCTCAAATGGTTTCCAAAATTTGTGTACTTTAAATTGTAGCATTTAGAGTTTTTATCAGGAGCGTTACTTTTTTTTATTCAAGTTCTCTTTTCCACTTGTGTAGAAACTAAGTTGATGAATACTTGATGATTAGATCCTATGTAAGTAAGAATTACTCCTCATACATTGCTCTTATGGTCTGTGTGAAAGTAATGATAGGCATTACCCCTGAGCAGGAGATGGTCCCCTTTCCCAGATTTTGTTTATAGTGCAGTCAGTGCTTTGACTTTTCTATGCCTCTTTCCCTCAGTTCATTAATGACCTGCATTTTGTTTCCAGAATTTTTTCAAATACAGAAATTAAATAACTTCTAGAGAGCTCTGAGAATTAAAAAAGTTGTTTGTATTTTAATAATTATGTAAAAGCACTTGTAGTTTAAAAAAATGTATGTTTATCAGTTTCTAAAATAAGAAATTGTTTCCTTGTGTCCGCTAGTGGTGGCCAATGCCTTTTACTCTCCTTGAGTGTCATTGTTAGCTCACAATTATATGCATACTTCAAATGTTTTAACCCATTGCAATTAATATTTTTTCAATGTTCGAATTGTCGCTTCGTATTGAGGGGGCCTACTCACCTTGATTTTTGACTGTAAAAGCATGTCTTCATCTGAATAAACAACCTTATGTGCTTGCTTCGGTAGCACATATGCTGAATGAACAAGCGTTCCATTCAAATTCGGAGCCCAAGTTTTAGTTGTATTCATACTGTTTCGTAACACTGACTCATTTGTTTTTAGTATAATATTAAAAGAAGAAAAAGAACTAATCTGTAAATGATGTGTTTATGTTAAGATGAAATGAAAATGTGCCTGAAAATAATCATGTTCCCTGTGCCTGTTTTTATAGTATTTCTGGTGGGGGAAGTGAATGAAATGGAATCCTTGCTTGATGAGTGGTGTGGTAGTGGTATTAGACTCAACAGGATCTGTGCCACTGTGGTCAGTCTCAGATTGTGTATTGATTTGGTTTAGCAAAATGCTATCATCTGTTCAAGAAAATTGTTAAATTTTTAAAAATTATATTCCTTTGTTTTTATTTAAAGTTTAGTTTGAGTTTGTACCTAGTTAGGAGTTATGGTCCTAAAGAGGTTAAGGCAAGTTTTGTGACGTGGTGTTTTATTCTTTTGCTTTTGTACTACAGGAATTAGATTGTTTTCCTATATTGCTGTCAGATTCTGTGCAGTATCTGTTGGGTTGTTACAGTTTCAAGTGTAAATGTTAATTTCATTACATTTTCAATTTTGTGTGTTAGGTGAAGGACTTGTTATTTCTGTGAAGCTTATAGGAATATAACTTAAAATAGTCTTTATTTCATTCATCTGCCTTTTGCATTTTATTGTTTGGGCTTTGAAGACCAGCCTATACATCCCCAATAGCTTAGGATAGATCTCTTTTACAGTTTTGAAGTTAGATTACCAATTTGTTTTTGTATATTTTAATCTTGTTTCTGAAATGATTAATTTCCCAATTTTTTCTAGATTTTAATGTTGTATTTCTTTTTTCTTGTTCTATAATATTTTTCTATGTGTCTTCCATTGGGTTTTGTGTCTATGTGTGTATATCAGTGAAAATTCATTTTATTGAAATATTTTTAGTTCCAGCTTAGGTTTTGTTAGTAAATAAATCCACATAAGTATGATACCGGAAAGTTCTGTTTTGGCATTAGTAAACAAGATTAATGTGGGTCAGTTTTCCTCCTGAGAACGAGAAAGGTGGAAAAAGTAAAAAAAAAGTACAATATTATGAACCCATGAAAGTCCTGCTGTGACAGTGAAAAATTTTGTAGTAAAGATCTGGTTAAGAGATAAGGAAGTACAGAAGGGTAAGTGCTACAGTTGGGACATGTACTGCTTCAAGGTGACAGCTGATTCCAAAGAGGAGCCTTGGAAGTGGACAGACTAGGGTCAGAACTGTCGGTCAACTCAGGAGGCTGCCAAAGCGACAGTGGAGGAGCCCTCAGCTTTTTAGGCTGTCTGGTCTGTTTATCTATTTTTTTAAACTTACATTACTCTCCAGGTAGCCTTTGTTCTCTTGGCCTTCTTTTGTATATTTCTATAGATTAGGTGACTTATGCCTGAGGAATATGGTAAATCAGTATGTATCCCATGCGAAATGTTAGAGAAGCAGGTGGGATGTAAAAAACGTTAAGTTTTTTTTCTTCCTTCAGAAATGAGAGGAACAAAAAAGATAGATTCCTGAAATTCTAGTTCTTTCCATCTGGATTGTTTTAGCCTTAAAACAATCTTGGAAACACCACAATGACAAAAATTTGTTGCATTTGTGACTCATATTCTATTTAACCTGTGCTTTTGGGTCAGTGGGGGATTTCTTTATGTAGGGTTTCCAAAGTTACCCACCTTGTCTTCTCCGTAAATATTTGTTATACCTTTTAATCCTAGGAAATTTAGGAAACCTTGTTTTCTCAGTTTTTTTTAAACGTTCTATTTAAAGAGTTTTAGATGAGTTGTTTTATCTCTCCATTCAATATTTCAAAAGTTATTATTTATTATCATCCTTGGATAAGATATCTAGAGTAGAAGTTTTTCAGGAATTTAGGTTGAGCTTTGACTATCAGACTATGCATTCCCAGTGGATGTGGATTTTCCTTGGCTTTAATCTTTGTTCCCTTGGTATTACTTGAATCTTCTCAGGTCTCTAGGTGTTGTATAGTTTTGACCATTACTGTCAGTAGTTAGCATGTTTTTTATTTAAAATAGCTCTTTAGGTCTCAAAATGTGTTTTCTTGTCTGCTGTTTGCAGATTTCCTAATCATCCAGAGAGAGCATTTGGATGGCAGTAACCTCTAGTGAGAACTGACAGTCTAACATCTGTCTCAACAGTTTTCTAGATTTAGAAGTCTTTGAATGAAAGTCACATTCTGATAAAGTTGGGCAGTGTACATTGTTTCTTAACAGCTGGCTCTGACAGACTTCAGTTTCCTGTTTATTTCAGATCTGGGGTCTGAAAGAATGAATAGGTTTGTTCTTTTGTATGTGTTATTTTATGTCTTTGTCTGGGTGATACATCAATTAGACATTCAGTCTTATAGTAGACATTTTTTCCATGCTGTATCAATAGAAAGAGGGCATAGTCAGTGACAGATGTCGTTTAAAACCAGATGTTAGCACTGGGTTTTAAAACGTTTATGTTTGCTATTTTTATATTTCCCTACATAACTTGGTTCAAAATGTCTCTGATAATTTATTTTCTTGAGGAAGCCAGGCATTTTAAAATCTGTAGTCTATTTATATTTGGAACTTTTTTAAAAAAGAGTAACTCTCCCTTCATTATATTCTATAATTTAGTTAAAAGAAAGCTTGGAACAATCAATAGGCCAACTGCGGAGTCAACGTATATTGAGAAACTCAAGAGGGAGAAGTATGTCTGTTACCAGTCTAAGTACAAGTGACCCTGATGCTGGCATGATGGCAGGTAAACTGTTCACATGTTCTGAAAATACTGTTTGTAAAAGATTTTTGAAGTACATAGTGAATACCTTTAATCCATGGAAAAATGTATGTCTAGAATAGGTGTTAGAATATGTAGTTGTGAAGGATTTTATAGTGTGTATTTAGAAATTTATTACAGGGTCTTTGTTATTCCAAGTCTGTTAGTTTTAGTTTACTTTACCAGAGAAAACTTGAATTGTAATTGGTGCCAAAGAATCAAATGCACAAATAAGATCTACTATATTGTATGTGTTCTAGGTTAGTGATCTTGTCCTAGTGCCATAGTATTTCAAATGTCTGATCGTGTACTATTCTATGACACTTTTTAAGAACAGATGAATTTTAACCTCAGTGTGAAGCTATATTTTTTTTTTTTTTTTTGGTACCAGGGATCAAACTCAAGACCTTGTGCTTGCCAGGCAGGTGCTTATGCTGCTGTGTTAAATCTCCAGCCCACATGAAGCAAAATATTAATGGCTAGGTTAAAAGTTACAGAATTCCGAGTTTGCCTATAATTAATCTTACTTATTCCATCCTGTAGCACTGAGATTCATATTGGAATGGATGACTCTTTAGTAAGGAGAGTTGATTTAGACACCGAACATTAGTATCTTGTGTTGTTAATATTGCTGTTGATCATGATAATAATGATTAAAAGTTGGACACCATCATTTACTTTTTAAGTATTTAGTTGACTTCTGATTTCTTATACACTGTTCAGAATTTAAATTAATTTATTACATGCAACATTCTGACTCAGTATTAAATTATATTTTAGGAAAGAATAAGGTTTTTAAAAATAATTATTTTAATTTAAACTTTTTTTTTTTGAAAAACAAAACATTGAAATGTTTGGCATGTTCTGCTTCCAAATTAGTTGTGTTATTCTGTTTTGAGAGCTAGTTTAGAACCAATATGGTGGAATTTTATGGCTGCAGCAAGTTCAGTACTTAGGAAACATCTAAATTAAGGATATATGTGTATATCCCCATCTGGTGTACATGCACAAAGTAAAATTTTGGATGGTTTCTGTTCATGCGTAGTTTTAATTTCCTTCCTTACCTTTCAATTGCAGAAGGTCACCATTTTTCTCCAACTTCACCTCTCAAGAACTATGATCCACAAGGAAATAAAAGAATTAAATCCAGAACTGGTGTTCGGTTTAGTCGGGAGACTGAAGACATGACCCAGGTACTTGGTACCATTTTATTTCTTTACATTTCTATGTAGGTGACTAAAATTTGAACTTTGTTCCATATTTTAACCAAAAATTTTTTTGCAGTGACCTTGTAGATCTTCATTTTAAATCATGTAAATTACTTTACGTTTATGCTCTAAGGTTTCTCATATATTTATTTTGAGTTTTGTTATGGAGGCTTATATTTTGAAGTTTTAAAAATGAGTTTAGCTGGACATGTTTAATCCTTCCCTGTGCCGGTGGTTCACTCTTGTAAGCGCTGCTAAGTCAGCTACTTCCCATTTTGCTAAGTTTGAAAAGTCATGAACAGATTAGTCTTTGTGTAGTTGACAGATTGATTTTCCCACCATTAGTGTTTTTCTGATTGTTTTTGTTGGTTTGTTTTGTTTTTTGAGATACTCTATAACTATACAGTTGAGGTTGACCTTGTTGACTATGTAGCCCAGGTTGACCTCGAACTTACAGTGATCCTCCTGCATCAGCCTCTCAAGTACTGGAATTACAAGCATTAACCGCCATTCTTTACCTGTTTTTCTGATTGTTGAGTCATTGATGGAGCTACTTTCTATTGATTCCATACCTTTTTTTTTTGCTCACTGACGATTTCTGAATAATTAGTTAGATAGATGTATTTCTTTTTCTGCATCTGTGAAGTTCTTCGAAAAGCAGAAGTTTTTTTCTTTCATTGTCTTAGTGAATTAATTTAAAAGAGTTGGGGAAATTTCTGACTCAGATATCTGTTTTGGCAGTTTTAGGATTCAGTGCTACAGTTTTGTCTTAGGATACTCATCTCTTCCTTTCATTTGCTGTAGTATAACATGTAGGTAAAACAACCAAGTGAATTCAAAAGTGTTATTATCTTCATTATTTTGTGGATTTTATTGGAGACAAAATCTTGCTCTATATTCCAGGCTTTAACTAAGAGGGGACATTTAAAGTTGTTCAATGGATTGAGCTGAAAGGTCTTGAAAATCAGATAGTCATGTGAGGCAGGTAGAAATGAGTGAAACAGAAATGTGAAGGATGAGTCTTAGGATTCTGGTTTGTAAAAGTGGAGGTCTATTGTTTGTCCACTATACTCCCTGTACTTTCTTTTTATTATTATTTCTTATTTTAAGTCGATTTTCTTTTAAGTCTTTTTTTGGTAGCGTTACCCTTAGCTGCTTGACTGTGTGCATTGTTAATGCCCCAGTGAATTTGTAGCTGGTTTACATTTCTGTCTTCCATGTCAGATTGTGGGCCACTGTTTCCCAGCAGAACTGGTACCGATTGGTTGCTTAATGTGTATTTGTTTAAATGAATCATTTGTTCTTCAAATCTCTATAACTTAAGGGTCTATATTGAAATCACATTACACATATACATATATAGCACATATATTTACAGATAAAAGCATAATAATGGGATTGAACACCATGTGCCACCATCCAAAACAAGAAATGGAACATTTTGCCAACCTCAAGCCTCTTTTATGTTCTTTCTTTTCCCAAGGAGTGTGCACTTTTAGGACTTTTTTACACTTTCGTATGTCTTGTACAATTTTTAAAAAATTATTTTTACTACATCTTAATGTTACCTGCTTTTGAACTGTATATAAATGGAAAACTACTGAATATTTCTTGTATAATTTGCTGTGGTTTTGACATTTAGTCTTACATGTTCATGGTTATATGATATTCCACTAGAAGAATATACCAAAATTCTATGTATTCTATTCTTGATGGGCTTTTGAGTTGGGTCTAGTGCTGCCATTTTGAACAGTGCTCCTTTATATTGTCTTCTATTTGGTTTTTATGGGATGTGGGTGGGAGCTTTCTGCCCTGGGGGATTGGCAAATAGGGCCCGCAAAATGAAATCTCACCATAACGTAGCCGTGCTTATCTATCTATGATTAGTTTTGTGCGACAGTGACAGAGTTTAATGGTTGTGATGGGAGCAGAAGAAGTACGCTGAATCCATAAATAAGGAGTAGGATTGCTATACCGTGAAGGATGTAATAGTTATTCTTTATGTAGTTTTTCAAGTTGCTTTTCTTTGAAAACAAATTTTTTTCAGACTCGGCATTTATTTTGTGCTTATTAATGTCATTAGAGACTTTGGTTAGTGTGTGAAGACTAAGGATGTACTCTTGACCCTTCATGCATCTTTACGGAAGAATCTAACAGAAGCCTTAATGGAGACTGTGTTTGCCTTTGCCAGTTTCACGCTTTTCATCAGTCCCTCCGAGACCTCAGCAGTGAGCAAGTTCGCCTTGGCGAGGATTTCAACAGAGAGCTTTCCAGAAGGAGCCGGTAAAAGCAGGATATGATTTTCAGGGGAGGAAGGAACTATTAAAAGAATAAGTTAGTTTCTCTAATTGACATGTGTACATAGACTTTTAAAAACATACTGTTTTTTATTCAAACATTTAAAATTTTTTTAATAGAATAGTTTGACACCCTTGCAATTTATAATATTCAGTGTAAGACAAGTTAATTTTGTATTTTATTATTTTGTTTTATTTTATTTTTTGGTACTGGAATCAAACTTACGACTTCACATTTGCAAGGCAGGTACTTGTGCCACTGAGCTAAATTCCTGGCCTATTTCATATTTTAAAAACACTTGAATACAATGGAATGCTGACATTATGGAGAGACATGTTCTGAAATCTTAGCAAAGAGGCAGATTTGGAAATACAGTAGGGAGGCAGGGGTTGGGGAGACAGACCAGATAGACACAGTGTCAGAGAACAAGACCAAGACTGACTGGCTAACTTTTCAGCTTTGCAGAACAAAATATGTATGATGAATTTGTCAATAGATGTGAGCCTTTGTAGAATGTAATACCTTAGGTTTTGACCTAGTCTTTGAAAGCAAGTGGTCAATGTCAGCTTATCCTTTATAGTTTGGTCAATTCTGGGTAGTTCCTAAGAATAGTTGTGTAATTTAGAATTCCTCCCTGTATTTTCATTTTTATCGTTGACAATGGAAGTTTGTTTTATTTTGGAGTCCATAAACCCCAAAGATTTTTATGCCTTCTTAAGAGGTACAGGCTGTATACATTAATGAGTAGGGAATGACTGAGCGAATTAAAGCTCGTTTACCACGTTCACTTGCTAATTCCAGCTTCCTAAATCATATCATATACTGTGTCTATATTGCTGTAGCAAAGAGTCCAAACTCTGTTAAATTTATCAAGTATAGTTTGCATAACTTACCTGCTTTTAGAGGAGAAAGGCAGGAAATTTAGTAATAAACATTTGACTCTACTGTTATTAGTATTATTGATATTATTAGTTAACATTATTGAACACTTATTTCATGCTATGGAGATTTAAATTTAACTTTTGCAAGAACCCTGAGATAGAAGGAGAGATGAAATAAATCTATTTGCTGTAGATGGAACGAGGCAGATGTAGTGAAATCAAACTTCCCATCCAGGCAGTAAAGCCCTAATGTCTTTGCTTTTCTACCACTTATTGTATATTATGGTGCTAGATTATTTTCACAAGATGATATCAATAAAACATTTCAGTTGCTGAATTGTGAGCCATATCAATCTTTAAACTTGTAAGACTTAGTTAATTTAATACTTATTTTTTTACCAGTTGATGAAATTAACAAAAGGTACTAAAATTATAAGATAATGCATTCTTAATTTGAAGTGGTTTTATCATGCAGCTTTTAGACTCTTGATGGAAGGGTGTAAATTAAACTCTAGGAGCATGCATGGGTGATTTAGCTAAGTAAGTAGTCATTTGGATCTGCATTGTTGTCCTGGTATGCTTCAGATGTATAGATCTCGTCATAGTCTGTGAGACCCAGAGCCACAGGAAAAGCAGGGAAACTTTGTGTAACCCAAAATGCGAAGCAAGTTTCTAGTAAAACAAGGTGGTGTACTTTTGGGATGAGTAGGGTTTAGTTTTCTAGATGACCCTGAAAGGTTGGTATTCATGTTTAATTACTTAATGCTTTTTTTTTACAGTGGCTGCAGAAAGTATACTGAATTATAAAAGTATGCTGCAAAGCGTGCTTTTAGAAAGGATTAAATAAAATTTACTTTAGAACTTAACACATACTGAATGTCTTATAAAGAATTGATGTGAGGAGGGTGAGTTAGAAGCCTGTTGGATTAGCATGTGAGACTTGAAAGTGACTTAATGGGATATGACGAGAGCAGGGCTCCCAGTGTGTGTTTTAAGGTTTTTTTGAGCGAGTCAGGATTTGGTGACATATCGTGTGTGAGGGTGGCAGTGCTGGCTGGGGGAGCTGAGTTGCGGAAAATAAATTTGATCTTGGATATGTTAGGTTTGAGGTGCTGGTGAGACATCCAAATGGAGACATGGGCAGCTAGATGTTTGTTTTTGATCTTAAAGGAAAAGTCTCAGAGATACAAATTTTAAGAGTGATCAGTATGTAGAAGTGATATTTCAGACCATGAGAGTGGAGGCTATAAAAAGAAAACATGTAGAGAAAGCAGCTAGGACAAGGCTGAGTGCTAGGGAGTTCTAGCATTCAGCAATTTTATGTATGAGGAGAATCTGACTTGAGAAAGAGCAGCTAGTGGGATGTGGGAAATCCAGGAGGGCATGGAGTGCAAAAGTCAAGAGATAAAATAAGCATGTTTGCCAAGACTTACAGTTTAGAAGTTTACCTGTTAGGGTAACCTCTCTCTGAGGAAATTGCCTAAGGACATATAAGTAAAATAAGGTTGTAACCAAGAAAAGGGAAAGATATGTATTTATGAAATGGTAAAATTGTCCTAGGAAATTAGTGAAAGCAACCCCAGAATGACAGCCATATAGCCTGCCTGCAGGGTGTTCACCCTGAACTAGGGAGGAAAGTAAGTGTCCTTTGACAAGAATTTAGTCAAGGAGATTTATGTGGATTATTCATAGATGGATGATTCAATAAGTGGTAGGAAAACATCAGAGGACAGGATAAAGCGAAAAGATAATAAGAAACCAGAAAGAACAAAGGCATAAGAGCTATGGTATAAGCATGAAGCTAAAATGTGAGTATGACAGAATGAGCAAAAAGACCTAACTTTGACTATTACTGAGTAATTCATAAGGAATATAAATATTATGTAAGATTATATAAGTTACCAGTACTACTAAAGACAGCTATAGATTTATCCGGTATTGGACAGCAGTGTGAGCTAAGCACTTCAAAACAGTGAGTTAGTGGGAATGTTTAGAATTGAAATTGATAATGATAAAAAAATAAGAACAGAAAAGGTTGAGCAGTACATGGTTACCAGTGGGAAGTGGGTCCAGAGGTAAGGAAAAGGTTTTTCTTTCGCTTGTAAGTTTCCCTCTACTATGTAATTGTTTGTCATGTATATTATTAATTTGATGGGCTCATGAGGATAGAGTTAGACACAGGATGTGAGGTCAGGATCCTCTTACTGTAGCAGTGGTTCTGGGAGTCGAGTCTTCATGTCCATAGTATCAGGTGCATTTGTAGAAATGCACATGCTTGGGCCCTGTTCCAGATTTACTGGTTCAGAAGTTTGGGGTTTGGGGTCCAACCTGTTTTGACCAGCCCCACGGGTATTTTCTGTGTTTGCTATTTGAGGACTGCTGTAGCCTAATGTCATATAATACTTTTCAATTATTATATTGTAAGTTTGGCTAGTTCTTCATATTTTCTGTCGGATCCAACCTAAAACCTCTTTTCTTCTCTTCTCTTTTTCTTTTTGTTTCTTTCCCCTAGGTCAGATGCTGAAACAAAAAAGGCTTTGGAAGAATTGACTGAAAAACTTAATGAAGCCCAGAAACAAGAAGTGGTGAGGATCCTTTGTTTATTTTTCCTTTTTTTAAATGTTAATTAAGTTTATTGGTATATTTTAAATATACATAATGATCAATTTCATCATAGGGCCTTTGTTACCTGTACATGACTTACCTCAACTCCTTTTTTCCGATCTCTTTATTCTTCCTTCAACTTCTCTTCCCATCCTTATTTACAAAAACTGAGCTTCTGTTTGTTTTTTTCTTTTCTTAGTTTTTTCGCCTTCACTCCCCCCTCCCCCTTGTTTCTCTTTCTAATTGAACAGTTTCTTCCTATTTTATAATATCTAGTGGACGTTCTGGTCCATATTTACACCTTTGGTTTCTTACACCAGAGAAACAAAGCAATGTTTACTCCTTCATAAGCAGCTGGCTGATTTGGAGGAACACAGGCTGAGTTGATAGCAACCGAGGTACAAAAGCAACTTAATTCTTATATTGTTTCAAAAACATGTAAATATCTAACTATGTAAAAGCAGCTTTTTTGTGTGTTCTTGTTTTCGATTTCTTAGAGTTGTAGGAAGGTGAAGATATAATGCCAATTTCCATTGAGGTAGACAAAATCTTTGCAGAGTGTCACATAAGATATGATCAGGATAGAGGATATCTTAGCATTTTTTTCAGGTACACCAAGAGTGCTTTCAATTTAAGTTGTACTAATTAAAATATCTAAAACATCACATACTTTGATAAAAGGTCTTTTCTGAAAACATACTGATGCTCACACAATAATAAATTGCCATTTTCTGATTTACATACTTGTTAAACAGTTAAATGTGCATATTCAACTCTGAGGCTCCTTTTGTTCACTAAATGACACTGGCTCTTTTCATAAATTCTACAGTGGAACCTGTCACTTGACAGCAGAAACTGCTGAAGCTCTGCTGTATCTTTTTAATTTTTAAGAGTTGAAAGTATAATGCACATACAAAAGTGTGTGTATCAGTGTATAGCTCAGTGAGTTACATGAGGTGAATATGCCCATGTAACTAACCCCCTATATCTAGAAATACTGTCGTAGGCACCCAACAAACCTCTTTATTGCCCTTTTCAATCACTAATCATGCCTTTCTATAGATAATTGCTAGTTTAAATTTTCCTATTGTGAATTTTTTATATGAATGGAATCATACAGAACTTGTAGTAAATATGAGTGTATGTCTGACTTTTTTTTTTTTGCTAATTGTGCTCTTTATGGATATTGTTTTATGTTCTTTAGTTCTTTTTTATTGCTGTCTAGTACTCCACTGAATGGATATACTGCAGTATATTTTAACATTATAAAATATTTGAATTTTTTCAAATTTTGTTCTATTATGAAGAATATTGCAGTGACCAATGTTATTAAGTGTCTTAGTGCACGTGTGCATACATTTCTGTTGGTACATAAAATGGGATGCATTACTAGGTGCCTTCAAATTTAGCAGATACAAATAAATGTTTTTCCAATGTAATTGCACTAAGTTATACTCCTGCTAACAGTGTGTGAGAATTTGTGTTGCTTTTCATCCTTTCTAACACTTGCTGTTTTCAGTCTTTTTAGTAGCCATTATGATAGGCATTTGTAGGGTCATAGTTTGGTTTTGCATTTTCCTAATTCTTTTTTTTTGTTTGTTTTTGTTTTTTGGTACCCGGGACTGAACTCATGATCTTGTGCTTATCAGGCAAGCACTTCAGCCACTGAGCTAAATCCCTGGCCCTATTTTCCTAATTCTTGATGATAGTTATCATCTTTTTATACGTTTGTGGGCAGCTGAATATTTTATTTTGTAAAATAACAGTTTGCATTTTTTGCTTACTTTCCATTGCTTTGCTTGTGTTTTTATTTTGTGGGAAGATATTTATGTATTTTTATTTTTATTTATTTTTAAATTAATAACTTTAATGGTATATACTGGAAAATAAAATAACTATAAATGTTTAAAATATACCCAATGAGAGGTCATACAAAATCATGATCATACAGTTTTCTGTTTATAAAAATGCTAATTGATGCATACCTCAATTTACATTTTAAATGAACACCTTATCAGTATGTGCAGTACAAATATTGTCTTCCATTCTACAGGTTATTTCTTATAGGGCTGGACATAGAGCTTATTGGTATGGCTCCCACCAGCTTTGGGTTCCATCTTCAGTGTTATGAAAATACCAAACCCCTCAAAAACCTCTTTTAATGGATCATGTGTTGAATTTTAATCTTGTTTAGCTTTCTATCTTTGTGGTTTGTGTTCTGGTTAATGTTCTTTTAACTTGTTTAAAAAATTATATTGGTATAATTTTATAAGTTTTGACATGAGGTCTGATTGATAAATATGGTAAATATTTCAATAAAAAATTTTATTACAGCAAAAGGCACATTGCTATTAATCCCTCTCAAAATACTCACTCTTGCTTTGAACATACTTGTCCTAAAATTCATGTCACTTTTTGAAAGAGTTCTGGAAACCCTTTGTCATGAATATTGTTAGTTGCTGTGTGGTGGTTGCCTCTTTTGAACTACCAGAGTTGGTTCAAAGTGTTTATCTGTCGTGGTCCTTTTGACTTTGGGAAAGAACAAGAATTCACATAGTGCCAGGTCCAGTGAATAAGGTGATGAAGACACACTGTCATGTTTCTTGCGAGCCTTTATTATTTCTGTTGGATGGTACTCAGCAGCAGCATCTACCAGTTTTAATCACACTTGTAAAGTCAGGTGATTAATCACAGAACCTTTTCTTGGAAGACCTTTTACCCTGATCTTTCTTCTTTAACCTCGCAATCCTTTTGAAAGTACTGTTTATTTTCTCAGTGTCTCAGTTGCCTTTTCCAAATGGGTTGATATTTCAGGAGAGCTATTGCCGTAAGAGATGGACTGATTTCTCTGGGTTTCTTTCTTCTCTTGAATCTTGGTCTCATATAGTCTTATTTTTAGCTTTACAGTTCTTTAAAACATTTTAATGTATTATATTCTTTTTTAGCTTTCTAGTGGAAAAGTTCACTTGAGTAATCTGTCATTTTTTGGAAGTGAAAGTATCTATATGTGTAATTCCACTACGCTAGTGTTTCTAGAGTTTTTCAGCTATTCTACAGTGCTTCTTTCACTGCTGAGCAAATATAAACTTGAGAGCGTATTTGTAAAATATTCTGATCCAATCTTCGCTCTTCTGTTGATACCCTCATAGACCCAGGTGAGCAGTGGTCATACTGTTCTATGTCATGCTGTTTCCTGACATTGTTTAGATGGTTTGAATTTGAATACTAATTTTCATAGTGCAGCCTATTTTTGTTAAGTTTCTCCTTTTAACATGTGACAAGAGATACACATAGTGATCAGTTACTGTTTCATTTGAAATACTGTACATTTAAATAGCAATAAACATAACAACTATTATTTACATGTATTATAGAGTTTTATTGTGTTTTTCAGGTGTGCCCACTGAGTAAAAAAGAAGTTAGCTGAATTTAATAAAAGCTATAATTCTGTCTTGTCATCATTGCTGTGTATCAAGTATTACTCCACATCAAATAGAGTTAGGATCACAAAACTGACTGTCACACTCACTGCTGTTCAGTTCATTGATGTAAATGATGTCCACAGTTTACTAAGTATGTTCCTACCCACTGTGCCCAGTTCATCTGGACATAGCCATTGTCTAAATCTGGACACGTTCTCTGAATTAGTTCACATCTAATTGTGTACCTAGTTGAATTGTATGTCTCCCACATTCCATCATACTATGTTACAACTTTTTTTATACTTTATATGATTTGTTGTCAAAGAAAAGTTGTTTCATAAATAAGGATTGAGTAAAGACATCTCTAACTTCACTTGGGGATACATAGTCTTGACTCAAAACAGTTGTCAAATATAAAAGGAAAAAAAAACGGTATTGTTGAATTTTTAGGTCTTCTGAATGCCACATGATGTTTATACGAGGCTTATATAATATAGACTTTGTGACTGATTTATTCTAATTGAAGTCAACGTTTACATTTTATAACTGTTTGACATATTGTGTTGTATTTGTGAATTCTGATAACATTCTGTCAGTGATGCAGTTTTGTTTTTGAGTGTTGTTCTTTGAGTGTTAAACTTTCAGAGGCTGCAGCTGGTTCCTTCTTCCACTTTAAATATAATTATTGAAGTGATGCATATTCACTATGGAAAACTTTTAAGATATATAAAGTGAAAATAAACGACTATCCCTGTTTCCCACCAACTTTGCTTTGTACTGCTCTGCACTGTCAATCACATTTACTGTGTATTATTCTGAGGCTGCAGTTGTTTATCATGTATTTTCTCAGTAGCTAATATATATCTTGTAAGTTTATGGAACACATTTTTCTGTGACAGATAAAAAGTATTGGTTGCTGTCACACATGCCAAAATCTGATTTGCTAATCCTTTGTGAATCATAGATTTTTTTGGGTTTGTTTCAAACTGCCCATTGAAAGAGTGTAATTGTTTATAGCATGATGTTATGGTAAATATTGTCTGTCAACATTTAATTGTAGTGATAAATAATCAAAATTGCATAGGCTTGTATCACAGGGGAAATTTTGGTTCATTGGTTGTCTACATTTTACCCGGTTGAGTCTGATATGGATGCATTTTAAATTTAAATACTTATGAAGATGGTCAATTTTATTTTAGTTTTATATAGAAGGTGTCTATTAAAAGTAAAATATAAATGTAAACCCAGCTGTTTCAGAATAGTTAATTATTGATAAAATCTTAAGAATTTTGTCAATACCGCATTTGTTTGATGATCTATTTCCCCAAATGATTGTAATTATTATGTATCCCAACTCGTACCAATATTTTCATTTAATATAATATGAGTGTGTTAGGTAGATTATAACCACAACAGAATATATAAAACATTTACACTGTCAAATATTTTTGAAGATCTGAGGAAGTCAGAATCTTAAAATTCCACAAACAGAATGCCTTTCTTTTGTTCACCTCTTTTCATTAAATACTAACTTTAGAAGGCCTTCTACTTTTCATTCT